GAGAGAGAGAGAGAGTGAAAGGAAGAGATAGAGGAGGCCAAAAAGCACTGCAGAGGGAGGGTGGTGAGAGTGACAGGGAGGGTGTCGTCGAAAGCGCCAAGAGTAGCCTACAGTAGGCCTACTTAATGTATACATGGGTCAAAGTCAAAGGTTCAGCCCATCGTAGCCCAGTTTACGCCGTGCGTGTAGTCGCAAGTGTGTATGTCTAGATCTAAGATCTAGATCATCCATTGTTATTCCGTTCGTAGAACGGGTGCTTTTACTAGTTATTACAATGATAAACTTGTCTTGGCGTAGATCTTCGTAATGAATTGTGCGCTTGTCTATGAAATAAAAAGTTGCCGTTATGCTAGGATCTACACAGCTACACAACTTTGTGGTAAACAATCGAGATGACACAGGAATGCTTTTGAACGAATCGGTCTTTTTTTTTTTTACACAGCTCATATTATGCGGGCATTTCAGGCACTATTTGTGACTTCTCTTTATACATTACTTGCTCACTGCCTGTAATTATCTACGCAAAACCTCATGTTTGCTATAACGAACACTCGGATTCAACGAGATTTTAGGTCAGGCCCGGCGACCTCGTTGAAACAGAGTTCCACTGTTCATGTATATGGAGAAAAGAGGAGCAGAGACGACAAAGGATGACGCATTGAACATTTTTCTCCACGCTAAACGGCAAAACAAAACAAAACAAAACAAACAAACAAACAAACAAACAAACAATCAAACCAATAAACAAACAAGCAAACAAACAATAGCAGCAACCGGCACACATAACGAGCTTTTATTCCCCAGCATGGTTTAAATACGAGCGGAACACAGAACTAGAAGGAAATCTCACCAAATGCCAGTGCATGTTTGCTGGTCTGTTTCTCTTGCTCTTGGGAGGTATTACAACACAGACACCATCACGACAGAGAGAGAGAGAGAGAGAGAGAGAGAGAGAGAGAGAGAGAGAGAGAGAGAACTGATACATAAAATAAATGCGCAGAGGACTGAAGTAGACCTTGACCTTTTCATCTTTTCTTTCTGTTTTTAAAAAGAATTGTTTGTTTGTTTTAATGTTTCAATCTCTAACGTGTAATGTTACTCCCACAAGAGATACACATTGTTGCAGTCTGTTAGGAGCCCAAACTAATTCTTAGTTTTTTGTGGCAGCTGATTACAAAGATGTTATTTCCACCTGGAAATTCAAGGTAAAGGAGTTTTTTGAAGTATCATATAACGTCCTACCTCGTCCAGCAACGGTTCAAACCCCTGACCCATGAATGCGAGCCGCTGTCTTGAACACAAGAATAACGTATTATATATAATAATAATAATATACATTTTTCTGCATTTTTCGATTTTGCCTTTTAAAATGTTTTACAGTTGAGAGGGAACAGGATGAGATCCATACAACTGAGACAACAAATGTGTGTCTCAAGAAAGCCGTACAAGAGATAAAAAAATAAATAAATAAACACACTAACAAACAAAAAAATAGATTGACGAAACGAGAAATATAAGACCGAAAGAACAATCACCACAAAATAAGACTAAGTATAACGAAACATTTCATCAGTCTCTTAGTAAGACTAGAATCTAATAACATATCAAATCAAGGGCAGTAAAATGAACACAAAAATTAAGTCTTAAGAAATGAACCATGAACACAGACAGACACAGGATATTTACACACATGATAACTTGATGACTATGACAAAAGATGTCAGAGTGTTTTCTGGGATATTGCAGGTTTAAGAATCATAATGAACCATGGAGGACAGCATGGGTTAAGTAATGTTTCCAGAATTTCTTAGACTGAAATCTGTGAGGAAACAGAGCAATGTTATATGACGAGCAAAAGAAAAAGCGAAATTCAAAGTATTCTGATATTTGTTGCTGTCTGCAGCACGTTAAACTAATTGTTCACAAAACACCAATCTTAGGCTAAGGATCCCTCTCGTGTACAGAGAGCCGTAATGGCCACACAAATGAAAGATCTTTAAAAGAATCAAATTAATCAACTACAAGTACCATACGTACAGCCAACCAATTACATTCAGACGCTGGAACTCTCAATGTCAGCATAGGCTAATGCTACGACTAGCGCAAAGAAGTTTTGAGAAAAACAAAGTTAAGAGTGGCCTTCAAGACACGTCACGAGTAGGCCTAATTATTTGAAACTCTCTTTAACCAGGTAATTCACACTGAAACCTTTTTCTTGGATAAAAGGGCTACAGTGTCGTTTAAAAAACTAGAACATATTTAAAGCTCGGTGAGCTCTAGAAATTACTGTTTTATGATCAGCTTGGTTAAAGAAAATGTTAAGTTTCCACTTTCATGAAAGTTACAATTTAATATCCTGGGATATTTCCATCCAACAAAAAAACTAGTTCAGAAATAGTGAGTATTTTTTAAAAAAGCCACATTGACAGAAGCTCTTTCTTTTTTTCCACGCCAATAATACAGCGCACTTCCTGCTTTCATGAGCATAACTAGCAGACTGCCAGTTTCATGACTCACGATCCGCGGAGTTAAGCATGTTTATGCACACAAACGCACACGAGTACATACACACATACATTATATGCATACACACATACACGGAAACACACGCACAAAGACACATAAACACACACACACAAACACGCACACACACACACACACACACACACACACACACACACACACACACACACACCCACACACACACACGTATTCTCTTAAACAGACCCCAGGCACACAAACACATTGATTGAACGTTCAGTAAATAATTTGCTGGAAGTAGCAGATACAGTACAGCCTTTCAATCCTTGTCAATAGCTGTGCTTTAATAATAATATTTATATTCTCATGATTCCTTGAGCAAAATTATCTACGTCTGTGAGAACCTGTTGCATTTCCCTTCTTCATAATGCCAAATATATTCCAATGGCCTTTCTGCATCTTAAAAAAGGATATAAATAGTATCTTGATTACAGAAAGACATTACTACATAAATTTAATGGGTAGAACAATTTCGCTTAAAGTGTATTATTTCTTTTAATTTTCAACCTGCTTGTACTTTTTGAAGGTAAAGAAAAACGAATTTTTTCCTTTAAAGTTGTTCTTCATTCTCTTCAACATAGGTTCTTCCTGAGGGAAAGTACATTATTAATTTTCTACCTGTCTTGTCATAATAATTCGAGTTATTAAAAAACAAATTATGATCAATTTTATCTTGCTAGTTTGCAGAAATAGATTACATTCTCCATTTTAATTAATGCTGAGATTTTCGAACATCACAGAATAACTTTCTGATCTTGAAGATATTTTTTCAGTGGTTTTTTTTGTTTTTTTTTTTTTTTTTGTTTAAGAAAAAAAAAAAGACTAGTGTCTTTAACATAGGGTAAGTTCCGGTCCAAAGAGATAATGCATCTTGCCCATGTCTTGCGACGTCAGACATCTCAGACATCTCACGGCATAGGCCTGTACTCCGACTGTTCTCTGGCCTCCTGCACTTTTCTGCTGATGACGTAACCGATAACAACGAGAATGACGATGACGCTGAGGCAGCAAGCGATGATGAGTGGGATGAGAATGTCCTCGTCAGTTCCAGAATCGTCCCGCTCCGAGCAGTACTCTACTGCTGTAAACATAATTAAGTATTACAGTTGTAATTAATTATATAAGTCAGTAAAAGCCAGTGTGTGACAAATGTGTATTAAGACGAGTTTTTAAATTCGAACGGAAAATTGAATTCCCCCCCCCCCAAAAAAAAAAATTAAAAAAACAAAAATTCCTCTCTGTCTCTCTGTCTCTGTCTCTCTCTGTCTCTGTCTCTCCCTGTCTGTCTGTCTGTCTCTCTTTCTCTCTCTCTCTCTCTCTCTCTCTCTCTCTCTCTCTCTCTCTCTCTTTCTATCTATCTATCTCTTTCTCTCTATCTATCTCTTTCTATCTTTCTCTTCTATGTCTGTCTTTCTCTCACTCTCTTGCGTTCTCATTCTCTCACTCTCTCTCTCTCTCTCTCTCTCTCTCTCTCTCTCTCTCTCTCTCTCTTTCTCTCCCTCCCCCTCTCTCTCTGTCTGTCTCTATCTGTCTTTCACTTTCTCTCCATTTTCGTTATTTCGTCCTTCCATCTACATGTCATTTCATTTGTTTGCACTTTGTTGTCTTGTGTGTCAGTATTGAAATAAAAAGATCTAATACCTTTTGCTAAAAGGCCCCTCAAATCTTATAGTTGAACGCCATTGCGCAATGCCAGCATGCAAAAAAAAGAAGAATTTTTTAACAGAAAATAAAAATATATTTTTTAAATTTAAAAAATACATTGTATTAAATTAAAACCCAGAAAAGAAGCTGTAATTCACAGCCAAAGATGTGACTACAGATTGCATCGAATTACAATATTATATAGAAGTGCAGCAAACTGCTTAATAGGTTCTCTGATGTGGTTTGCTCCTTTTTTTCTTTCACACTTCTATCGTCTTATCTGTCCTCCTCTTTTCTTAGTTATGTTACTCTCCAGTAAACACCAAATCTTCGGCCTTTATTTGATCCATTTGCATTGCAAAAGCAGTAAAACGTTTACTAAAATAAAAACTCATAATCTCAGACGCTGTTTGGCAAACCGGTGACATTAAGTGGTCAGTGATTAGTTTGCTGATTTTTTAAATTTTGTGTGTGTGTGTGTGTGTGTGTG